CCCCTTCCACCCGCCCATTTAAACCACCGTTTCCAGCCTTACCACCTCCCCATGTCCCGCCCCCCCCCTTCCCCTCACTCCGCACCCCTCTACCACCTCACAAACACCCCAGCCTCCCGCCTCGCCCAAAGCAATGGAAGCCTTCGAAGCAGCGCACGCGGATCCGTCCCTGTTCATCCCCAACGTGCCGCTGCTCCCGTTCGTCCTGCCTCCGCCGGCCTTCGATGCTGCGCCAAGGCCCGAAGACCTGCCGCCGACAAGTCCCACATGCGACGCTCTTCTCTCGTTGCACGTCTCCCCTTTCGAGCTGCCGTCAACTCCGAATGCGCTCCCTTCGTTGCACGCGTCGCCACTGACCGCGCCGGGCTCGCCCGCGTTGCCTCCGTGTGCTGCGCCTCTCCGCGTGTCAGCAGGTGCGATATCGAAGCCGCGGCGGTCCCCGCGGAGGTTTCAGTGCACGGTCAGGGGCTGTGAACGCTCGTTCACACGCAAGTATGATATGGAGAAGCATGAGTTGGCCGTGCACCTGGAGACGAGGCCCTTCTCTTGCGACGTGTGCTTTCGCGGCTTTTGTCAGAAGCATCACATGGAAAGACACAAGAAGCATGTGCATCTCAAGGAGAGGCTGCACAAATGCGAGTATTGTAGGGTGGATTTTGCGAGGAAGGAGCACTTGCACAACCATTGCCGCTCTAAACACGCCGGGCAGGAAAGGATGAGCTGTCCAGTGTGTGGGGCGAAGACAGAGAGCGGGACGTTGGTGCGCCATTTGCTAGGTAGGCATGAGATTGAGCAGGGGAAGGCTGTCGAGATGGGGATATGGAAACCAGCCGAGAACAAGTCACGCGGGAGGAGGGCTAAAGTGCAGTTTTAGAGAGGTTTTTGCTTGGCCTTCCCTTCCGGTAGATGACGGGTATCAGATGGTTCACTTTTTCTTTTTTTGTGGTCGATGTTTTAGTTTTCTAGCCTGTTGTAAAAATCCATGCAGGCTTGTTACTGTGTGCACGGAATCGAGAAACGACGGAAGACGCTGCACAGATGACGGTAGCACATTGTCTTGCGCGTGGGCAGCACCGCAGTGAGTCATTGCCGCCGTCGCAGAGCGATGCAGCCCCAGCGACTCAGGGCCGTTCCTAACGAAGAGTTCGCCGTGCCAGCACCCGAGCACCCTGAAACTTGGCATGAATGTATTGGTTGAAAAATAAACCAATACATTCATGCCAAGTTTAGCAGAGGGTCCTCTCGAAACGTCACATAGGCAGGACGGGTGCCAGGAAACGCCGGGATATGGGAATTATGATAGGCTGTGAAAAACAGGTGCAAGAGTGGCATTTTCCAAATTAGAAACTGGCAGCGTGCAACCCTGACAGCGGAGTCCACGGTTTGAGGCAGATTCCGTGCCATCCAACGCAGCGTCTGATAGAAGTGCCTGTACAGTGACTCGACGTAGTTGGCAAACGCCGGAAAATGAAACGCGCCTCCTCACACTGCTCACACGGGCCATTCGCCCTGATTTCCCTTAACGCCATGGGAAAGGAAGGCGCAGCGGCCCGCCCATCGCCTTGATTCACGAGGTATCCTGTTTTACTGTACAATGGGTCGCTGAATACCGGCTTCTTACAGTGATGGAACGCGAGACGGTGCGTTATGCACCCCGTGGACAAGTCCTCCGTGGCGCGGCACGACGCTCCACGCTTTGGTCATTCAGGCGCACTCGCAGATTCTGTCGTCAAAGCCGCTCTACACGATCACTCTGGTGAATCACACTTGGTAGTACATTTTGATGACCAAGGCAGAAACCGGTTAGATATGTGTGCCTTCTGCTAGAGACTGGCCACTGGTCGAGGCAATTCAAGCCAGCTACCCTTCGAAGGGTAGTCCTTTGTGAGGTGTGCACAAGTGGGCAAACATCATCGCCAGTGCCAACGCAAACGTTGCTGCTCTCTGCACTGCCAACGCGTTTCAGAGCCACCAGACGCGTAAGAAAAGTCCCCTCTGCAGGCATATAAACTTTACTTTGCTCTAATTCGGGTGAGTGAATTTAATTGCCGGTGGAACGCAGCGAGCGGATCGGTTGGCGGCGACAGTGGGCTCCGGAGTCTCGAGAGCGAGCACAACTTCGGCCTCCATGGGGTGGCAGGCACCATTCGTGATCACCCTGTCCAACGGGTGACATCATTTTGGGCATGGTGCGTCTTCCACGCTAAAAAAGACATAAAAATTTGGACAAAAAAACAAAAAAAACTTGGCTTCCGTAACAACAGCTAGCACTGCTGCACAGCACAATATCGTACAGCCGTATACGTGCATGAAAAACCACTAGCGTGCAGTTGAGCCTTTAACGTCACTCTACACCGCTGCAGTGACACTAATCAGGGCAGTGTTGCGGCACAGCTCCTACCCTTGGCACCACTCCACAGCACCTGCGCACTGCGTGCATTGTACAGTACGCAGTGTACGGCGCATAGCTTAGTGCCTCCGCAACCTCGAGGCATCTCAAAAGCTCGTGACGAAGCCACCCGACTGATGTCCGTGCGGGCTGCGGTGTACAGTACACTGCCGTCCTAGTCGCCCTGGAGTGCTGCGCTGGAGTGAGAGGATAAGGATGACGGGCCATGTCCCACCGCTGATACCCATCCGACATGCAGCCCAATTCTGGTTGTCTGTACAGTACAATCAGAATGTGCGGGCAGATTGACCACCCGTGGTGCTTTGCACGAAATCCTGTGGATCCTCTTCATTTGGAACCTTGCTTCGAAAGCCCCTTTCGAAACAAGGTCTTCTCTCAGCTATGCTAGCTATGCTGATGATCCGGTCCGTTGACTCTCGTGAGTCGAGCCCGTGCGCTGTCGTTTCGAAACTTGCTACAGTATAGGGCATGTTGCTGCTACCGACGACAAACGTATTCTTCTCCCAGCCTCCGCCTCGTGCGAGTCTACAGCACACTATATCCCCGTTTGATGCGACGAATACATCGCCTCGTCAATTACAAAACCATCTTTGGTAGGGTGTGATACAGCGGCCTTTCTCTTCCACCAAGTTTTTTTTATATATAATGCCATGTCGTTATGCATTGTTTCTATCCAACATGACATGTGGCTTGCTTCCGATCATGCTCACCAAGCCGACCATAAGTTTCCCGTTGCTTTCACTGCAACTTGGCCAGTGAGAAGCGTCACAGCTTTCTTTGCTCTACTGTAACCGCACTTGTATTTGCCACGACGGCCACCCACATCTCCTTTAAAGAATAAGAGCACTTCTTCTTCTCGTCGGACAAACTCTTGAAAGCGAGTTACCCTTTGTTGTTGTCCATGCAGGCCTTGTGGGCAATCTCCTACAGATGCTTTTATGTTGTGCGTAAACACTGTCAGTTCTACTTCAACTTGTACTGCATCAGGAGGGGTTGACTTACTTTTTGGAAGTCAACCCGTACTCCGATAGCAGGTCCCTAATAGACAATCATCCAGAGATATCCTTCCAGGCTCCTGTATTGGCCCCTGCACTGATCCGCCGCCCTCTCTTATAAATGAAAGGTGACCGTCCCCGTGTTTTTTAAATAAGCGCCCCGTCCGAGACAAGATTACAAGATTGGGACGCTCCCTCGTCACAGCCCTTTTCATAACTCTAGTGTCTATACGACTAAGAGTAATCACAAGATAAAAAAATATGCGAATTTTATTTCTTTTCAACTTTGACGGCCACAGTTTCTATTTTTCTTTGGTACGCTGACTCGTTCTAAATTGTTTCTGACGTTAGAACCGAATAGAAAGCCCGCAGCGCAATGTTTCTATGCTACTGGTATAAAATTACTTCAAAGAAAAATGCAATCTGTAAGCCGACTTTTCTTTTGAACACCTTCATATACATCAACGAGTTGGGTTTCGCTAGAATCGACAAGCAAATAGTTTACCTATGGTGATGGCCTTCTGGTTTCAAAAAACAGAAGTGAAATCGCGGTAGGGTTAGGTTGTCTAGAAAAAATAAAACAACTATTTTCCAAATATGAGGGAGGACAAACGGTCCAATAGACACGAACTAGTTTCTATTAATGCGGTACGCGTCACACTCACAGAATTGTCGTGTTCCATCTCCAACTCTCTCTTGCACATGCTTTAATTCTGCCAGGTCCCTCCACGTTTAACACGTGGCACAGGTGAAACACGACATCGGTTTTGTACCGCATGTACACGTGGACGGCACCATGGGTCTGTTTGGTTGTAGCCACGGTACATATGTAATCGTCGAGTACCCTCTCGGGCACCCCTTCTCCCGAAAGTGATTTTGTGCCCTCCCGCTCCCCTCTTCATGCCTCCTCTCTCCCGCTCCGCGCACCTCCTGGGCTCCTCTCTTCTCCTTCTGTCTGCTCTTTCCATCGCTCTTCTTGCCCGATCCACGGCCTCTCCACGGTCCCAAGTGCTTTCGTCCGCCGCTGCTCTGGTTCTGGCGCTTGCAGGTGCCGCATGTCTGGCAGGCCCGCTCGTTCCTCTAGGCATGGAGCGCGCTTCCTTATGGTACGTCTGCACGGTTGATCGTCGAATGCGCTGTGTGTGGTTAAGGCCCCACCAGCATTCTCACCTAAGCACGATTCTTTTCCCTGCGTTTCTATCGTGCTGCGCAGGGAGGCGGAGCACCTCGCCTTTCGCCCGGAGTTTGAGGTGCTGAACCACCGTGGCATGTACATTTACGGAAGAGCCAAATCAAAAGCATAGCCGTTTCGTGTGCACTCCACCCCGTGTATCCCTTCCGCACCACCACCGCCGGCGTAGTGAATTCTTCTCCAACCCCCGCACCAACCCTCCTTCCCTGTCTATAAGTTAAAAACAACAATTGTACATCTGCAACAACTGGACGCGTCCCACAACACTGCTCCCCTCTTCAATGCATAACCTTCCACGAAAACGTAATGAACAGCATAGTCCCAACCACAGCGGCCATAATAAGCACATCCCTCTTCTTCTTCCTTCTAATCTGACCAATCAACCGATTAACCGCCGGCAACCCCTCAGACATGGTCTCCATCCTCTCGACCATACTCGCAAACATAGCCCGTTGTCTCTCCAAGTCTTCTTTCAAGCTCAGTCCCGTAGCGATCGCGGAATCCGCGCCAGTCGTCGCGCCAGCAATCGAGGCGCGCTCTTTATACAAGCCGTCCAGCCCGGGGCTGTCGCCCACGACCCTGACGCGGCCGCCCTCTGCGGCGGCGGCCGCCGCGCCGGCCATGAGATCCGCGTGGTCCCTCGACGCGACCAAAGCGTCCATCGTCTTGCGGAACTCCTGGTTGTAGTCGCGCAAGATCTCAGCGTGTCTATGCATGGTGCGCTGCAGTGCGGGCGCGGGCGTGGGGCCCGATTCAGTCACGGCGACGCCCATGGCGTCTACCAAGACGCGCAGGCGCGCCAGGAGCGACTGCATGTCTGTTGTCATCGCCTCCGCCGCGGCGCGCGTCTCGCGATGGCCGCTCCGCCGTTGAAGCGCTTCGTCTCCCGGGTTAGACATGGCATGGAGAGGAGGCACGTTCGTCGGTCAGCACGTGGGCGCGAAGGAGGAGGGTGCGCAGGAGGAAAGAGGGCGGTTGGAATGATGTGGGGGCTTACCTTCCGGGGTCCCGCGCGAGGAGTCGAAGGAGGAGCGCGTGGTGGATTGGAGCGAGGCGGCGAGCTTGGAGTAGTCGACGAGCTTGGCTTCAAGGTTGACTTCTAAGATGCGGGCCTCCTTGCGCATGGAGTCCCATGACTGCGTCATCGCTGCGCGGTGCGTTAGAGCTCCAAGGGAGAGGCACGTGGAGAAGGCGGAGAGGGGTGGGTGTTGAAGGGTGGGAGGAGATAACTTTGGAAGTGCGGTTGAGTGGCGGAGGAATCGTTGAGGAGGTGGTGTAGATGGCGGTGGAGCCGGGAATTGGTCGGTTGTGGCATTGATTTCCACACAGGTGGCTGACAGTGCCGCAAATAAAGCTCAGATGAGGTCCAGCAGTGTGATGTCCCAACTCGCCACTTACGGACGCCCGTACTGTAAGACAATTCCTCGGATCCGAGGAATTTTCAAAGAAAACGACTTATCCAAGTTTTACATTTCCCCACGCCTTTCTCTCGCCCCAATTCACCATTCACATCTACCGACATCCAACACAAACTGCCTCTCTCTCCCCCCGACATGCCGCCACCAGCCAAGCCTTTCCTCACCTTCGGCCTCCCCTTCCTCACCTTCATGGTCGCAGGCCTTCAAGGACTCGCTTATATCAACCGCGGCCGCTACGAAGTACGTCGCCTAAATGCAACCACCAAAAAAACACCATCTTTACAACCCTTCCCCCTCCCATTTGCGCTCAAGCTAACACCACCATACCCCCTGCTCAGGTCAAAGACGAGGTAGCAAAGCAGCAAGCCCTGATGTCGACAGAAAACAAGGTTGTCCTTCCGCCGCGTCGTAACCTCGCAGAGCTTGAAATCCCGCCCGTCACCGACTACGACATCGTCCCCGTCCCGCGCCCGGAGTGATTCTACTGGTCCTCCCAAAGTCTCCCTTGCACCGCGACGCACACCTCCTGCGCCGCCATGGCCACCTCCTCCTCGTCGTCGCCCTCCACCGTGATCTTGGTCCGGTACAGCTTGCGCGTGTCTTCTGTCGTAGCGGGGTAGCTGCCGAACGCCAGGTCCGCGTTCTTGCCATGCGCCTCGTCGAGCGTCGCCGCGAGGTCACCCTCGGAAAGCTCGCATAGCACCACGGCTCGCGCTCGCGCACGCACCTCCCCGAGCCGCTCCTTGGGCACGGACCCCAGCATCTTTGAGAAGAGACTGGGAATCCCCGGCAGAACATACACGTTGCGGTTCACGCACGCAAGCGGCACCCAAAGTTCGCCGGTCCAGAACGTCTCGCACGGTGCGGGCAAGATGGCCATGCGCAACCGCGCCGCGTTGATCTCCATGTGCGGCTGAATCTCCCGCATCATTCTCAGCGTCTCCTTGTGCTCCTCCAGCGGCAATCCGAACGCCTTGGCCACCCCGGCGTACGTCAGGTCGTCCAATGTCGGGCCAATCCCACCAGATGTGAACACCAGGTCGTGTTCTTTGGAGAGCCGCCGCACTGTCGCCGAGATCGTGTCGATGTCATCTAGTATCGTTTCCGTTTTCGTCAGCACTACGCCGTGCTCTACTAGGAATTTCGCCAGCGTTTGAGTGTTTGCGTCTTGCGTCTTGCCGGTCAGTATCTCGTCGCCGATTACCACTGCAGCAGCGGATTTCCGATCGAGTATCATGTTGGTACCAACCGCTGACGTTTGCAGCCTTCGTTCTGGGGCTAGTCGCCTGCGAGTATACTGCGTGCACACGCTTGTGCGATGCAAGGACCGTCGGAGTGCGCGAGCGGCAAAGTTTGAAGACTGAGCAGCGAAACAGAGCATGATGTGTATGTGTGGTGTGCTCGAGCCGGTCTTGCTGTGTATGCCTGTGATTGACGCGAGGAATTCCCCTTTCCCCAATAAAAGGTCTTTTTCGGTCAATTTGCGCGCCAACAAATTTTGATCTCTTGTCCATTGGTCGCAGATTTCTGAGTGTGCTCATGTGCTATTGATAGCAAAGACTAAGTTCAGTGCCGGAGAATCACTTGGTCAAGAAAATGCATCCGTGCCGCTGAGTTGCAGCTGAAGTTCACATGCAGCGTTTATTTGCCCCAACCTAGTTGATAGCTATGTACCTGGCGCGATGCCGAACCGAACGCTGCTTGTGCAGCCACCTGTCGAGTGTTGCGCTCGTGTGCAGATTCGATGGGACAGGAGTGATTTCAGGGTGCTCCCGCAGGTGAATCTAAGCTCTGCATTCCCTGTCTTGACATGTACACTTCGACAATGCGCTTCGACATATAACCAATCGTTCTGAAGTGTGGTTAACCAGAAGCATAAAACCGAGGCACACAAGTCGCATTAGCTAGGTCCGCTCACTAGCCGGTCCAGTGCCACGCATCGCCGATTGCATCGCCTGTTGAAATTGCAAACATACCCTCTTTGTTTTGTCAACCCTCGAATCCGTGCACGTATCTCCTCAAGGTCCAGTTCCTGAGCACTCCCATTTCGAACCCTCTCCGTCGCAGCCTGTCTCAACGATACGACCCCACGCTTGACCAGATCCAAAGTCTCATCTGAAGACCTGCTTGACAGCTCCTTGTGCATTTCCAGCAGATACGACAGATAGGAATCAAAAAGTAAACAGTCATGCGCACATAAATCTATCAAAATATCAGCTTCCAACCGCCGCAGCACGCTCTCCTTGTTCTTTTCAAATTCTTGGCGAATGAAAGCGAACAAATGTTGCAATGTCTCTTTGCTCGACTCAGCGCCTCCTCGTTTATTTGCGAAGTCGCATGCCAGTCGCGCTTCGTTTGCTAGGATTTCAAACATTTCTTCGTCAAGTTTGTCGCAAATGTTGTGTAAGTGTTGCTCCATATTCGAACTGGCCAGTTGGTTATGTCGCTTCCATAGCACATGGGCTTTCGCAATCACCTCATGGCGGCGCTCTCCTTCGAGCACTATCGGATCAAGATTGCAGGATGGTCGAGTTCCGGGAGGTATCATGGCCGTGATGTCGCGGAGAAGTCCATCCAGTGATGACAGATTCCTTTTCCTATCCATTGCATCAGCGATTGCAGCGACCAAGCTTTCAAAAGTTTCTTTTTCTTGATCTTCATCAGTGTCTTCATTCTCTGCAGAAGACACGGGTGATATAATGTATCCGAGAACATCCGAAGACAGACCCTCATACCCAAGGACTGAGTCAAAAAATGTTCGTTCTGCATTTAGAAGCGGCTCGACATGTAGATGCTTTTGCTTTAGCTTTGTCGGTATCACCCATCGCGAAAGAGATTGTCAGAAACAAACCACATGTAATCATCCCTCGGACAATATGGAATACGCACCTTACTAGAAAGGAAAGATATATCACTAAATTCCTTGACGGCATTCTGCACCCACACCGCCCATTGATGAGCATTTTGGAAGTCTTCCTCGCCCCACCCAGCGATCCCGTAGCTCTTTAGAAAAGAAACACTCCAAGAGAAGATGCGTCAGTAACGAAGCTGGATGCGCAAGATCGCACTGATGAAGGATGCATGAAAAGCGCACGAAAGCTGGTGTGAGACCTACCCTCGCAATTTTCATCTGTGAAGCAAGATATACCGCATTTTCAACAATCTCATCCGCTTCTTGAACAACGTTACTATCAACAAAGTCGCTGCCATTCTTTTCCCCCGGATACTCGTTCTTTTGAGGTTGGACTTCATCGAGAGCTAGAGCATCGCCGCGATTCTCCGATCTTCGTCTCTTGCTTCGCCTCCTCGCATGCGCTGTTCCCGTGTGCTCTTGCCTGTCGACGGACGTCGCGAAACGTTCATTGCAACCACTTTCATCGCACTTTAATGGTTTATCTGCCTGGTGTATCGTCTCGTGCTTCTTCTGCTCAGCTGCGGTAGCAAAAGAAACTACACAGCCTTGAAACCGACAGGCAAGTAGCGTGGCGTCTGCCCGCGAACTGCTTCGTGTGCGTCGCTTGACCATAAGAGATTCACTAATTCGAAAATCTTGGCCGCTTTATGATTGGAAAGGGAGGCATTCGGTTTGTACGCTTCTGCATTTGCATACAAGTAAAGCTACTTCCCAGCCTAGTTCAGATATGCGTGCACTGTACCCTTGGTACCTTGAGCAGTCCATGTCGACGTTGTAGGCAAGTCCACATTCCCAATTCCTTCCACCGGATCACAGAGCTCAGCTCCTCATTTTGCCTCGAAAAACAACGTGGACACGTGGAAAGTGATCAAAATGTACTCGTTGTTGAAATGAAATTTGGCGGATCTTCAGCTTCGCGGAGTGAACTTGTTTTGTCCTCTCCCTCTCGGTCGAGACGCATAGCGACAACATCGGCTCGGGCCACTGGGACGTTTATCACCCTGTGATCAATCAGTGAAACAGGGGGGAAGTTTGGAGGACTCGATCCAAAACGCACTTGTTTTGTGCGATGTCGTTATCATTAGCACCACCAAGATTCTTTTCACGACTATCCAGCCTGTTCAGAGTAAATACGACGCCAACAATACTCGTTGCGCACCTCGCTTATCCTGAAGTGTCAGGTGTGCGTCCACTGGAAGCCCTGCGTGGGATCTGGGAATCGATCGTGCTGGCTGTGCCGAAGAAGAAGACAACCCACAGCAAAAAGCGAAAACGCATGACACACAAATGGTTGCGACCACATGCAAGTATGACGCGATGTGAGATTTGCGATCGATGGAAACGCCCGCACACGTACTGCAAGCCAAATTGCATAGGCCGCCGAGAGATAGGGGTTTAATTTGTCTACATGACGCCACTGGGCGTCCCAGTTTCATTCGTTTCCGCTACTATTGCGTTCAACATACTGGCCGGCTCGGTATCCCGCCTCGTACCAGGAGAGCAATAGCGCCTCTAGATCCGGGGATGAACCGGGCGGTGGTGGCGGGGGAGGAAGGAAAATTGACTTCGAAGCCCTCGCAGGTGCGGACGTGGGCGGTGAAAGTGGTGGGGGGACCGGAAATGTGATTGTCGCTGGTGCGGTACGATTTGCGTCTGGTTGAGTCGTCGGACAAACACTTTGTTGCCCAGCCGAGTGTGGTTGAGATAAACTTCTCTCCGCGACGTGCTTCTGCCTTTTTCTTTTCTTTGCTTGACTAGGCTTCCCATTGGGTGCGGCAAAGTCGGTGGCATTCCCGTTTCGCTCTGTATCACTAGCGAGTCTGTGGGAGCGGACGGCTCTTTCATAGGCTTCAATGAGAGCAGTGTCATCCCATGTGTCGGGTTCGGCGGATGCGAGAGGGACGTATCCTGCTTTTCGTTGCAATTCACGTGTGGAGAGCAAGGAACGGTTAGCATTTCACATTGATTCTTTTTGGATAAAGGCTCGAGAAAGCGCGTCGAAACAAATATGCATGAACTCACGTTCTGAGCTCTCATTCATGTTTACGTCGTCTGATGGTCTCAGTATCTGTCTGAACGGGGCGTGGCAATGATACACAAGAAAGCTGATGACCCCGGTGAGATCGTCGGGAATTTCTAAGAAAGTTTCACAGAAGAAGGCTGATGTTGTAAACGAAATGTCGGGGACCACTCTGCATGCGGTTCCCTCCATATGGCCTTTCTTTCTGGTCTTGCATAGCTTCTCATACCATGGGTAAAAAAAGGAAAATTTTGACGCAGTTTCCTGTTTGATCCGAGTCCCACGTCATCCTATCCAACGGATGACGGCGACGCGCCCATGCACTTTCGCGGGATGTGGAGTGAGGACCTCAAGTATATAAGATATTCCTCAGGACAAAGCAACTACCTGTCATCTAAATAGATGAGCAGTTCAATCCGTTAGCAATGTCCGCCCTCGACCTCGGTACTCCGGCCGCCAACGCAAAGCAAGTCCGGGAACTATCGCAAGCACTTAAATCACTTAACGACTCGTCGAGGCTTTATTGCTTCAACGCAGTCCTGGCCCACACCGGTGCATCCCGAGCTCTTGCGACTCTCTCAAGTGAGGATGCGGATCAACTTTTCTCGGCTGTTCAAGCAGGGTTGGTCAACCCGAACCCGTACAGTCGTAATGCGTCCCTTCGCGTTGCCGTCCTTTTATCAAAGCATGCGCCACCATCGCTCGTCGCGGACCATTGGGCATCCCTGACCTCTCGAGTTATCTCGATTCTAAAATCTGCTCGGGGCGTGAATCGTTCTTTGACTGCACAGGCGCTAGCTGCAGTAGCATCGCTCATCACCGCTGGAGCTCCGTTGACACTCGAGGGAGGCAACCAGAAGGTAAGCATTACAACAGCATGCCATTCTGCTGTGGTTCATGTCACTCGTTTCTTGGAAGGTGACCCTCCCTCGGGGGACGTTGCGCTGGCTTCGATAGCTCTACTCTTTGCTATTCTCAATACAGCCCCGAGAGAACTTCGACAGGTTCTCCCACGACTGGAACTTGCACTGTGGGGCAAATGGGTTGGACATCCTTTGGAAAGCGTGCGACAAGCTTCCGCCAAACTGCTAGCTCATCTACTGATATGTTGTCCGGAAAAAGTTAAGCAAAAAGTCTTCGATGAGCGCATTGAGTCTGGGTGTACAAAGCTTGATGAAATTCTGAGTATTGTGGACCATTTTACTTCTGCTCGCCAGTCTAGAAGAGCTGTAACACCCTCAATGTTGCTTGCAGTTGCGGACTTAAAGGAGCAAGCTGCTTCGGGGTTTGCAGACCGGCTCAGTCATCTCTACTCTGCTGCTTCTTTCATGCTTCAAGAAGTGCTCAACCACGGTTCTCTAACGCCACTGTTCATATCTATTCCCAAACTTTTACACACACTATGTCGCGGGTTCTCCCATAGACAGATTGACCTGTACACACCTGACCTGGAGGGTGTCGCATTGAACGCTGACGATGTCCTTCGTTTGATCGCGATTACTGAAAGAGAATCTCTTCGCACCTTAGTCACACTAACTGAAAGCGTTGATCGCTCGGCTATGCTTCCGTATGTTCATGTCCTTGCTCAAGCATTTCACCGTCAATTGTCATACATGATTCTAAAAGTACAAACAGCTCCAGGGGCTGTTGCCGCTATCGTACAACGCAGCCTTCTTTTTGACGCCATGGCACGAATAGTAATGGTTTTGGGATGCGGCTTCATTGAGCAAATTTTGGAGCCGTTCGTGAAATTGTTTGAGTGTGACATTGCAATATACTCAAAAGCGGCACATGCACAGAGTTACTTGCTGTCGAAAAGCTCTTCTGCCATCTCCGAATCAGCACGATTTCGAAAAAGGCGTAAGGTCGCGAACTCAAGAAACCGAGAAGCGCACGCAAAGGAGATGTCCGCGGTTGACAGCACGTCTGATAAATCAGTGACATGGGCATCAGCAACCATCAGGGATTTGCAAACTGTTCTAATATCTGGCACTCGATTACTGACTGCAATAGTCGAAAACAGAGGCCTTCTCGAATCACGAGCTGTGGACGCATTGCGCCGGATTGAAATTTTGATGGAACGGATCGAGCGATTTTCCACATCCTCGACTGAATTCTTAGAGCTCATCAGAGCGATGGCTCTCGGAGGCGGCCCCAGCCGTCTCAGTGCGGAAGCGAGCCCGTTTCTTCTGCGATGCTTGTCACTGTCGAAGCAAACAACTCTATCCATGGCATCGTCTCCGCAGTTGCGTAGCTCGGGTTTGCGAATGAGATCAACAGCAGAACTCTTGCTACATCCTCGAGGGCCCCCGGTGGTGCGAGCCAAGGTCCCAAGGCGGAATGCTAGTGATCATCAATCGCCTGTGACTGGATTCTTACCGCAGCAGCAAGAGAACCCCACTCCGCATCAATTAGATGATGATGAGCCGCAAGGGACAGATAAAAGTGACGCAGAAATGCTTAAACCTCGTAAGGAGGATGGCTTATCGTCGGCTTTCGAAGGAAGTCGCAACGAAATTCCAGGCGGAGATAATGGCAAACGACTCGAAAATTTTCCAGGACGCGACGAAAAGGACAGAGGGGCTGGAACGAAAACACGGGCAGAAGCATATCTACGAAATGCTATGGATTCAGATCAGAAAATGCCTCTCTCTGAAGGCGTTGTGAAAAAATCTACAGAGAACCATGCAAATATTGGGACTGGCGTAGCGGTCTCTGCAGGCACAGCAGCAAGCACCATTCACGAAAGTGTTGCTGGGACAGGCCTGGTGACCGTAAACATCCCGCATTCGACCTCACTACAGAATGCTCCTGGCGGTGTTCTTCCCATCACGGTGGAGGCTGTGGAAGGCATTTCTAACACTCTGGCTAAGGAATCCGTTGGTGGGATCGAAAGTGGAGAAGAAATGATCGCGACCTCCCCCACAAGGGAAGTTCAGCCGGCTGCAGTGAAAGATACATTCAACAATTCTTCATCAGATGTGGACGAAGATGCGCTCGTGGCTTCCTTGACATTTGAGCCTCCTGACGCAGAATGATTCATGTGTTTAATACATCGTTATTAACTGAAGGGAAGCACCATTACTTATATCGCTGTGGTTTGCATTTCAGCCGGCGAATCCTTGTTTTCACGGAAGGAAGTGCAGCCTTGTAGGACCTTAGCGCTGTCGCTTTGGGAATTGATTGTCAGTCTGGTCAAAAAGATGATCGATGCTTCGCTTCGATGGCAGGAGGGATTGGCCCTCAGCACGAGAAGTGGCCAGAGGGTCATACCCTATCACCCTTGGAGTGAGGGGCAATAATCCGGCATTTGTTGGGCTTGGAAGGCTAAAATGGTGCCCGCTTCCAAATCCTAGTTGCGCACTATCTCCCGAACCATCAAGATTGTAGTTCAAAAAGGGCGTAAGTGGCACTGGGATTGAGTCTCGTTCGCTTGGAGTTAGTTGATTCCACGGAGCCCAGGCTCCTAAACCAGTTGGGGTCATTCCAGGTAGGCGGGCGCTCATCAAGCCACGAAAGGATTCATTCCCACTTGAAGGACTGGACATTGAATGTAGTCCAGACGGTGTGCCAGAGGCGAAATCCTCTCTATTGGGATTTGGAATGGCAACCGTAAGGTTTGGACGGAGGCGGGGTACTACCCGCTGGCTAGACTCCTGCAGTTGGCCATCTGAATGAAGTTGTCCCTCGGAACTGACTACGCTCGCCTGCAGCGTTACCTCAGCATTTTCCGTTGAGTGAGATACGGCCGAGCCGCCGGCTGGGGCCAAAATCTCTCGAGGATTAGGCAGAGGAGCAAATTCATTTTTCGGTTGCACGCTTCTGGTTTCAGTGCGCAGTAATTGAGTTTCGCGCTTAGGAGTAATCGACGTTCTGCCTAAATAGGGGGGTGGGAGCATGGTTGAAGCAGCATTGTGGTCAGGTTCCTTTTCTTGTTGAATAAAAGGAAATCGTGCGCTTTGGCCATTAATGGCGGACGGAGTGGGCAACCCTAATGCAGCTGACAAGTGACGACCGGCGGTGCTTGGAGTGAACATAGATGGGGCAGATAGCTGCGATGGGAGAGCCGGCGCGATTGACATCGAAGGAGGCCTTCCCGCAATGACGTGCTGGTTTTGTGCATGTTGACTAACAACCCCCGATGTTGGATGCATGTGAAAGCCATCTGTATGAGCTGGCGCTCTTATACGTGTCGGTTCGAGCTCCGGTCCAGGGGGTATCTCATGCGGAGTTTCGAGACGGTAGGCCAAATTGCCGGGCGACTCTCCGGAGGACAACTTTCTGCCGTTGTAGTACTGCTCTGCACCAGGCTGTGTATCGGAATTTTTGAACTTGTGTGTCGGCCGGGGTCGCCGTGCAGCAGCCGCGGACGCATCCATCGCCGCTTGAGCAAGTTTTGGTTCATTAACAGGGATATTGGAAGTCCCCTTGGATGCTGCTAACTCAAAGAACTAGAAGGCATAGCAAATGAAAAAAATTTGATCAGGAAAGTCGTTAGTTGTTCAATGCCAGTCACAGTCAACTGTGAATAACTTGGGTTTCGTATCGGTAGGTATTAGACGTACCCTCTCTTTTTTTCGCCGCTCACTCGGTCCGTTATACGTCGCATACTTTTGCAAAACCGTCTCTGGTTCGACAGAACTGTACTCGAATAACTTTCCGTTGTTGAGGTTGAAGATGATAACTGTAACCTCACAGTCACATAAAATGCCCTGCGGAAGTATTTCGATGTCAATGAAAACGATCCGCAGTTAGATATCAGCAAGCGTACACACATCTAGACTTTGAGGAAAGGGGTTATCTACATGGGTTATCCACATCCTTACCAGTTCCATCGCTTTCTTAAGCAAACCATTCTTCCTCTTGAGAAACGTCACCTACTTAATCGAACAGAGATGCCCAATCGTCAGTTAGATATAAAAACAGTGCAGTCCCTCAGCTCTATATTCTGTGTCCCACATAAATCATGACGCACCTGGCGATTTCTGCTGTCTTCAATGCGCTGGATTTTGATCTTTTTCCTCCCTGCTGTTTTCGGCGGCGAAGGAGGTCTATCCGAAGACACGTTAGCGCTCATTTTCTCTCTGCGCTAGAGGCGCTTCGCAACCCGGCCGCTTCTGTCAATCTTTCCGGTTCTTTGAGAAGCTCCCGTGGCAGGTTGATACCAAAATGTGCAGGGAACCGAAATGGAGTTCAGCTATTCAACAAAAATATCGAAAGCAACATCGACCCATGCAAGTATAAGGACCGTTATTAGAATCTTTTTGCGGGAAAAAAACGCTGTACCCACGCAGAAAGTAGCGTTCGAGGGATAGCCTGTTTTAAAACAATGGATAAACTTCATGAATAGACTTCTCAGCAATTCTTGGGAGTCATAAAACTGAGGTTTGCATATTCCTTTCTAAGGACTTTTTCGTTTTCCTTTTGGGTTTTAAACCCTTTGAGGTGATTGCGTGGCAGAAAGTAGTGCTGGGAATCATACATTGATTATTTCACAAGAAACATATGCTGAACACAAATTTTTGGACTTCTTATCCTTTCCATGCCTTGAATCATGTTGCAGCATTCACCTTATTTCTCTCGTTCAAGACCTGCTTTCGCGACCTTAAAAAAATTCCTTGGCATAAGCGATTAATTACCACTCCATGACATTTGATAGTTGAAAGCAGAAGGATCCTACATCTAATTGTTTACTTCTTTTCTGTTCATTACTGCCATTGATTTTGAACCTGGGAGCATATCCTCTTCTTGCCCTGTACCATCACTAGGTAATTTTCCGCGATATGAAATGTGATCCTTTTCAACCAAGTGTGTCATGCAAACCTGAAGAGGAAGGGAAACGTTTCGTTAGATATAGTGCTGCCAATAGTACTGGAGTTCAGGAGTGCGGTTTTTTCGATTCAACGGGTCAATATCTCTGTACACGCATAGGTTCGCTGTGTCAGTCTAAGGGATTCTTCGTTCGAATAGGCATATTTGAAAGAAATTGGTTGGGGCATCACAAAAGAAGCACTCTGCTTCCATACGTTACAAGATTCGACAGTTGCAGGAGGCCTGCTGGAGAATTCAGACCACAAGGCTACTCGAAGTATCAACCATCCCTGTTTTGTGAATCGGGCATGCCCTGACCGGCTATTACAAGAGTTCTTCATCAGATTGCTGGTGTTGTCATCTCAGAGGACCATTGTGCAGTTGCCCCTCACGTGTCGTTCCTCTCATTCACGAAGGAAATATGTCCTATCAAGGGGAAGAAATCCTCGAGAATAGGAATTTTCCAGTACCAGTCACCAGGTCGAGACTAAATGGAGCAGCAACACTACCTCAGCCATGTGTGTCTATTAAAGATCCCAGCCTCAGCATATTATGGCTCGGTTTTACATCACCCTTGAGTAATTTCCCATACCCTATCTTTTGGAACGGATCATTGCAGACTAGGCGTCTGGCGGATCTAATATATATAGCGTGTCTTTTTAACACAAACAAAGACTTTCCAAATTCTAAATGGTGGTGGTTCGAAAGTCATAAGTATGAAGCAGATCTTTTGCAGTGGACGATTGATGTAGTGTCTGAACAATTTTATGAGTCATGGAATATCCTCATCGCTGCAGTCATTATCTTAGATCGTGTCATAGCGGCGGGTGTTCCTCTTACCGAGACCAACGTTGTGCGCGTGTTTGGAGCCTGCCTAGTGGTTGCGATCAAGCTCGTCCTAGATACAAATGTCTGTAATTCTGAGCTAACCCCTCTTCTCAACTGTCCAACGCAAACCATACACATCCTCGAAGCGGAGGTTCTTAAAGTTGTGAATTGGGAGGTCTTTGTCTCGGAAGCGAACTTTGCGCAGTACTCCAACGCAATCACATGGCCGTTTATTACATACCGGGTGGCAGCTGTGTCTATTTGGCATGAGGTCGTTCCGGGGTCGAGCTGAACCTGCTGAAATATGGCAGGTCCTCAGGAAGGTCAACGTCTCGTAACGTCTGAAGGGTGGCTATGGAGAGGCCGTTTGCTTTGGCAATTTCTATTGTCTCTTCACACACCATAGACGTACTCCAAGGTATATCATGAAATAAATACGAATGAGCGGTCTTCATTCCCAGCAAGTAGTATCCTCCATCCTGAGCAGGGCCAATGACGACATCGGCCCCGTCCAACTCGGCGAAGGCTTCTTCAAGTAGAACGCTATCGATTTCTGGAATGTCCGCTCCAACGACGACTACCTTTCGTGCTCCGTCACGGAATGATGCATGAAATGCGGTATCTAATCGATGGCCTAGATCCCCGCTTGTCTGGGCAATGAAATCTTCCTTGGATGTAGAGAAATGCGGCGGCGTTCTCAGCCATTTTTTCATGCGCTCCTTTTCATCTCTACTTGCGCTGCTAGATGCATAATGTATACGGGAAGTGAGGTGCGGCGCAAGTGTGGATGAAGTCAAAAGTGAGCGAACTACGGATACAATACGTTCCGTCAATTGTCGAGAAATGTCGGCTGCGCCTTCCTTGCCTAAAGCAGGAATGAGACGGGTCTTGGCATAGCCCGGAGTAGGATACTTGGTAAAGATGAGAACGTGGATTTCAGCAGATTCATTTGAAGATAGCGGGGCAGACACGGACATCCTGTGATGATGAAATCGCAGTGGGATGGCTCAGTGTAGGGCGACAAGCCAGCAGGCCCCAGTCCCGCACAGGCATGCGATGCGTGAGCTGGTCACCGTTTTCATCACTATGAAGAGAATGCCTCGTAGCAGTAGGATAGGCTGAAGACGATATGCATACGTCCTTATAAGGTTACATATGTATAAGGCATAGTTTCCCCGCTTGTGTGTACAAAGGAAGTCTGGCGCATGTGCTGAGGTCCAATCTTAAGACAGTTTGGACGGGCTTGGACGGGCTTGTTTTGGACGGTCATGGACACTTCTTTTTTGAAATACATAAAATAATCGAGCTGGAATTTTTAAGTGTGCGCAAATCAGGATCTCGTCCTCCGTGACACCATCATCACAGCAACATTACGGTTGTGTGTCCTCTTCCCTCGAGTAGTCTCCAATACAAGACGCGAACAAGAGAATCATCATGTAGTCCATGACGCGCTGGTCAAATTCTTCACCACCGAGATGAGTATCACCGTACGAACTCGTACACATCTCCGTGCCTCCCTTTTCACCACACACGCACATCTCCAACTCTAACCCCCTCATCCCCCCCTCGCTCTCCCTCCGCACATACGCCCTCTCTCCATCCCTCGATCCGGTATACAATCCTTCCCTCCAGTATTAGTCTGGCTGCCTTTGGATCTTTCCGCTCATTCCCTCACTGGATGCTCAGGACCCCAAAACGGTAATCTCCAGCACTAATAACAACCAGCTCAAAGAACTGGTCTACTCAAGATTTCCGGCTTCAAAGCCCCTCCTACCCGGTCAAGGCCCTCTCTCTCCAATGGAGAAGCGCCGATTGGTTATAGTAGCTGCAACAGTTGGGTATCACCCCGATCCCTTCAAATGGAAGACAAGCGCACAAGACAACTTGTCAATGATGAGTAACTTACTAGTTTGAGATTAGTAGCGAAATAATCTCCGGTTCACAACTGTGAACTCCTGTGAACTCCGTTGCCCCACTAGGGGAAAGTGAGTCACGTAAAAATACGGAAAGGGGATGAGTGGCCCTCTAAAGGCCACCCATCCCCCCGTACTTGTCGCTATCGCGCATCCTGCTATTTGGCCCAGTTTTAATTCGTTGATGTTTTGGTCACACGACTCGGACATAAATTACATTCTGTACATAACCTTGTCATGTAATACTGTAGGAGGATTCGGAATGCTCGCGACCGCATCACCTGAATCGCCAACGGTAAGACTACCTATTGCTTCTTTGATGGTCGCGCCTCGTTCATCTGCATCGCCCTCATTTTTACAACCCCTGTTGTCGATGCTCCAGACAAAGCGGAGATGCCACAGTCCACCGCCGAGTACCTCGGCGGCTACATCCGTTTGATCGGCGACACCCTCTCCCAGCGTTTTGTGAATCGGTCACCTCCTCAAGGACATGCACTGTTCCATTCCTCCAGCGGCTACTTGCGAGGAAAAGTTGCCCTAGTCACTGGAGCAAACACAGGAATCGGCTTCGAAACGAGTCGCTCGCTCGCCGCCGCAGGGGCAACTGTCGTGTTGGCTTGCCGAAACCGCGGCAAAGCCGAGGCGGCAGCACAAGCCATCCGTCTAGCTGTTCCAGACGCCAACATCCAGATTGAAAACTTGGATCTCTCGTCACTTTCGTCCGTGCGCGATTGTGTGCATACCTTCGCATCGCGTACTGCGTCTGCCGCCGCACCCAGACCGCTGCACATACTCGTATTGAATGGCGGTGTCATGGGCGCCCCGCAATCGTCCCCAGAAACGCATTTCTTTGTTAACCATGTCGGGCACGCACTGCTCACGCTACTCCTCCTCCCCAACTTACTCGCTGCTCAGAACGAGACTACTAGGGTCGTGCTTGTGTCCAGCTTGACGAGTGTTATCTCGGATCTGAGGTGGAACGATCTTGATTTCAAGGCGAGGAAATACAATTGGATGACTGCGTATGCAAACAGCAAGCTTGCCATGCTGCTTTTTATGAAGGCACTTGTCCGACGGCTCGGCAGCGCACCGATCACGGTGAACGCTGTACATCCTGGAGAAGCGACTTCAGACGTTGCGAGATATCTAGGACGAGTGTGGATGTGGTTGCACCAGAATGTCGGGAAGTTTTTCTTACTGAGCACCGCAGAATCGGCAAGGACATCGGTTTATGTTGCTGGTGCGAAAGAAATTGGAAAAGACACTGGACACATGTTCCATCGCGTGTGGCACAAGATGGAAATTCCGGAGCGGCTGCTTGATGAGGAAGATGTGGAGCGATTGTGGGAGGTCACCCTTGCGATGGCAGAAGTGAGAACGGAAGATTTGGACATGCTTACCCGGATTGCACTGGCCCATGGGGTGGACAAGACTCTAATTCGGGTGCCCCCTTGAAAGAACGACTTCCACGGTACAATAGTTTACTCATACTTTTCAGGTCGACAGGTTGGTCCACTTACCCAAATTGCAGTGTCATCGTGTATCCGTCATAAGAAATGGAAAAGGTGCATCTCGAGCTGAAGTCCGCTCCGGTGTCCATAGAAGTCCAGACTTTTGAGAAGCACGCCTGCAGTGTGTGTAGTCTTTTTTTGTCTAGTTCACACCGATGAGAAAACAACTTTGTTGTGGTACCGCAATGACATGTCCATCCATCAATGCACATACAAGTGCGGAAAATGTCAATTAGCGTTGGTTGGGTTTGCCTCGCAGGTTTTCTGGGAGAAGATTATACGTAGCGAAGATGATCCTCGACCACTGGGAACGAATGCTTGCCTCCGCACCTGACAATGGCTTATCGCCTGTGTCCTTTTTCAAACCAAGTTCCATCTTGAAAGTTTGCAACGAATATCCCCTGGCAGCGGCATCACAAACGCTCTCAACAAGGCCAGTCAAGCCCGGAACGAGGGAATCCATCTTGGAACCCTGGAGGTCAGCAGACACAGGAGGTGGTGTGCGATCCGACGCAAAGTTGAACTTTGCTAGGGTGAGATAGACCAAGGCGAGCCAGATGAGTCTAGTCTCTTTCTCCTGATCATTGAGAGAGATGTCGCGCCCCATATACTTGGCCTGAGTCTCATTCGCGGCAAGCTCAAGCTTGATAGCGGTGATGGAATAACCCGCTTTGTAAGCAGCGATGCAGGCGATGACGAATGCTTGGATAGCGTCATCGTACTCGGGGCCGACGCCAGCAGTCATAAGGCGGATCCAGACGTTGCGGAAGGTGACCTCCAGTGCCTTTGTGATGATGGGACCGCCTGGGGGGTCTGAGGAACCCGGGGGGGGACCTCCTGCTGCTTGAATGATCGGGAGGCGGCACGGTGTTGGGCGCACGCGCAACCGGCGGGAGCTGCGGGAGGAGGCAGTGGGGCGGAAAAAGGTGAGACGGAGGCGGCAAAGGGCGCATGGGAGAGTGAATGCTGGGGTGGAATTCATCGCGGATCGATGTATGCGATGAGGCAACCTGGCCACGAGGGTGAGAGCCTGAGTTTACACTCAGCCTGAGTCAGACACTTTGTTGACTTCAGGGGGGGGGGAATTGGGGACGTGTTTGATAGCGCACCGGGATGTGCAGGGAGGTGAGATGTGCGCCGCACAAGAGCATGGGAATGGCAGAAGTTCGGCCTCTGTTGAAGAAATGAATGCCGTAATTGACCTGAGACGTGGGAGACGTGGGGGCGTGGCAGGCGTGTGGTTGGAGATGAGACTTGCAGATGGATGTTTGCAACGTGTTACACGTGTACCAAGTTGTCCAGCTCCAGAGAGGCAGCGCAATGCGACAGATTTTGCATCCCGGACACTGCTGGCTGGGGGCCGCACATTTGCGGCCCTGCCCTGTTTGCAAATTTGACCACTTTCCTATGCCACGTCTGGGCCCCTCTTCTCCTCCTCTCCCTGAGTGCCCACCCCCCTTCAACGGCCGCCACCTCTCCCATCCCTCCCTATCTCCCTGCCTCCTCTTCCCGTCCTCTGTTCACCTCCTTCCACCCCCTCCTCCCCCTCATCACGTACACTAAAACCCTCCCCAATGCCCTCCCCGCTCTCCGTCCTCACGCTCGCCCTCCTCTTCGCCACTCCCCTCACCCACGCCCGTGTTCTCCGCGACTTCGTTCGCCCCGGCACCAACCGCTCCGCCAATTCCCCAGCCCTCTCCCTCGCCTTCCCGGTCGAAAACTCCCGCAACCGGCACAACATCCGCCGCGGCTCCCGCCCGGCCTACGCCCCGCCGGCAGACGACTCCGACCCCCCCGGTGTCCGCATCTACGACTCGTTGGACGCCGTCCCCACGGCACGTCTCCTCGCCCAGGCTGCACGTCATAAGAAATGCTTCTCCAAGGGGCAGACCTTGTGCTGGGCCCCGTACGTCTGTGGTCACAGATGTGAACAAATTTTGCTTGCCGTCGACGGGTATTGCAAGAAGTACGCCCAACCGCCCGACGGCACAGAGTGTACGGATAAGCAGGGCAGCTGCGCCCTCTCCCTCAGCTGGAAAAGATGCAAGAAGGCCAGGAAGTTCAACCGCTGTTTTGCCCGCGTGTGTTATCGCAGAACCGCTGCCCTACGCCATCACCAACATCAGAGTCTCGCCATTCCCAGGCCTGTGAGCTACGAGGATACCGAGAACGTCGCCATTGTGCGATACAGGAGACCCCTGCCCAAGCATGAAATACTTGCCAGGAGGAACAGGCAGTCTAGCACTCAGAGCGCAATTTTCAAATAACGCTACTTCCGCAGTTTTGTATCTCTTGCTTCCACAGTTTTTATCTTTCGTAGTACGCCCGCTTTCCGCCCATGGTTTGCGGCTTTGTAACATACCTGTATTTTGTAGCAGACCCGTCGATGATTTGTGTAGTGTGTATTAAATATGCCTTTGCTTCCCACAGCCGGCCTCACTTTGTGCGCTCTCGTGACACATCGGAAAAGGTGGGGCCGCTTCGTGTTAGCCAAAGTTAAATTTTGTGCTCTAGCTCAAAATTACACAACAGAGGGGCACAAAACTTAAGACACGTGTAAGATTACACGTGGCCCCGTGTACGCTTTTAGGCTCTCTGAGCATCGAAACGAGTGGACGCATCATAGAGCAATGAGATATCGCCCAGATCGCATCTGATCTTATAATGACGTCGCCTTGCTCCTTGTCCAAACGGCCTCCCCGTCGGCGGCTGCAGCCCTCCCTCCATCATGAAATTCTGCTTCATCCCCCTCTCCACCCTCCCTCAATTCCTCTCTCGATCCCCTCTCCCATTCTCCCGCCCACCATTCTACTCCCGTACTCTTGCCTGCGCATCCGTCCAGCCGCTATCCAGCTCTGCGGCGACCTCAGTACCCGCCAACCCACCGAGCAACCAGCGATGGCGCGTCCGCACCGTGCAGGAGGCCCCCGATGAAGATATTGTCGGCCGCACGCTCGTTGTCAAGGGCTGGGTCCGCACCGTCCGCGACCAGAAGAAGTTTGCCTTCCTCAACCTCAACGACGGCTCCTCACTCGCAGGTCTGCAGGTCGTCGTCGACGGTGGCACACCGGCCTACGAAGTTATCCAGAAACTAACCACCGGCTGCTCCATCGCCGCCACGGGTGAGATCGTTCGCTCGCTGGGGAAGGGGCAGGCACTCGAGATGAAGGCGCAGCATCTTGAGCTCATTGGCACCTCGGACTCGGCGTATCCGCTCCAGAAAAAGAGGCATACGCTGGAGTTTTTGCGTGGCATTGCACATTTGCGCCCAAGGACTAATTCTATCGGGGCTATGGCTCGGGTCAGGAGCGCGCTAGCGTTTGCGACGCATCAGTTTTTTACCGAGCAAGGGTTTTTATATCTTAATTCCCCCATCATCACGGCGTCAGATTGTGAGGGCGCAGGTGAGATGTTTCGCGTTACTACCGCAATTCCGATGGATCCGAAGGCGAGTGGAATTCCCGTCTTGTCGCAGGCGGATGAGCAAGCTTCAGGAGATGCGGTAAAGTCGGGGGATGTGGATTTCTCCAAGGACTTTTTCGGTAAGCCCGCGTTTCTCACGGTTTCAGGGCAGCTTTCGGCGGAGACGTACGCTTCGGCTCTGAGCGACGTGTACACTTTTGGGCCCACGTTTCGTGCAGAGAATAGTAACACATCTCGCCACCTCGCCGAGTTTTGGATGATCGAGCCAGAGATGGCGTTTGCATCCCTCGCGGATGACATGTCGAATGCGGAGGCCTACATCAAGTACGTGACGACGCGCGTGTTGACGCAGTGCACAAAAGACCTGGAGTTTTTCGACAAGTATGTCGAGCCTGGTCTACTAGAAAAACTAAGGGTGGTGATGAACGAGTCGTTTGCAAGGGTCACGTACACCGAGGCGGTTGAGCTTCTCGAAAAGGCGAACAAGCGCAACAAGAAAGGAAAGCGGCGATTCGAGTTTGATATCTCGTGGGGATGCGACTTTCAATCTGAGCATGAGCGCTATTTGGCGGAGGAGCACTTTAAGCGACCTGTGTTCGTGTACAACTATCCGAGCGGGATTAAGGCGTTCTACATGCGGGAAAACGACGGGGATGGTGGGCAGACAGTAGAGGCGATGGATCTCCTAGTGCCTGGAATCGGGGAACTAATCGGAGGAAGCGCGCGGGAGGACCGGTTAAACGTGTTGGAGCGCAAGATGCGAGCCAGTGGGCTAGAGAAGGAGGCGTATTGGTGGTACCTGGATTTGCGACGGTACGGGTCGGTGCCTCACGCAGGATACGGGCTTGGGTTTGAGCGGCTGATTCAGTTTGTGACTGGGCTAGACAACATTCGAGACGTGATCCCATTTCCCAGGTATCCCGGGAGTGCGGAGTTTTAGGCGCACACAGCGGAGTGGAGGTAGGAGGGAAATGGACGTCCCGTTTGATAGTGTTGCGCACTACCCTTGATAGTGCTGTACAGTAGTGTAGTACAGTGGGTCCTACGCATTAGTGCCGCCCCGTGCGAGACCCCAAAATGCGCACTATTGGAAGACGGCATTAGTAAGTGACGTTGTCACATCTATCTGCATGCACTTGATTAACGTCTGCCTGCTCCGTGTTGGTTCTCTGTTGTGTTTCGCAGTGAGAAATGCGCGCTTAGCCGACCTTGGATGCGATATTAGGGGGTACCATATTATGGATCAGTCTCAACATCTTGAATAGTAAATAATGAAGAAATTGTCCAATTCTCCTACAGTGCCGAAAAAAAGTATAGGGACAGCATCAATACTCACATTGCTGGCATACAGTATTGTAAAGGCCAAATTTGAGGTGCGTCTAGGACTGTAAAAGCAACGAGGAGACCGAATCTGGGGTCGGATTTAAAGATCGAGAGTTCATTCACATGATATTCATAGAAACCTTATTTATGGGTGTTCGAAAGTATAAGGTACAGCGCATGTCTTTCACTACTTCATCGCTCCTAGTACTTCGTCGGACCTCCCTTTGCCATTACACACTCAAAGCACCGCTTTTGCATGGAACGGACAAGCTTTTCCAGGCATTCTTCTGAAACTTCGTCCCACGCTTCCATTATAACTTCTAAAAGCTCATCCACGTCCTTAAATTGACGTTGGTGTGCATAAACCGTTCGCGCTAGGATGCTCCATAAATTCTCGATAGGATTCAGGTCAGGTGACTTGGCAGGCCACTCTAAGAGAGGAATTTCCTCCTCGTCAAACCACTGAAAAGTACGTCTAGCGCGGTGTATAGATGCACCATCTTGCATAAACACCCAACTTGGACCCATTTCTTGATCCACAAACGGCAAAAGATAGGACTCTAATGTATCTATATACTTAATAGCATCCTGCTTTCCATATAAAACGGCGAGCTCGCACTTCTTAGTACCAGAAAAAGCGCCCCAAACCATTACAGAATCCCCACCCTGCTGCCGTTTTGAGAACATCCGCTTGTCGGTCCGTAAATCGTGCCAATAGTACCCGAACCCATCCGGCCCGTCCAAGTTGAATTTCTTCTCGTCCGACCACACCACATTCATCCAATCCGACACCGTCCAAGTGACCTTTTCGCGACACCACTGCTCCCGTGCAATTTTGTGTCTCGGGAGCATCATCGGAGCGGGGACCATTTTGCTGTATTGAATCGTTGGCGTGGCGCGTAGGATACCTCGCACAGTAGATGGAGTTACAGGAAGACTAAGGGTCTTAACCAACTTTGAAGAACACAAATGCCCTTTGTGCGCTTCGCGCAAGAGAGCACGTCGAGCCGTGGAGGTGCGTTTGGAGGGCCTACCGGGCCTTTTCTTCTTCCCATACAGGCCCAGGTTCCTTAAAAACGTGGCCATGACGTTACGGGAGCGCGAGATATGTGCTGCAATTCGCCGAATTGTCCAATTGTTGAGACGAAGAGCCTGTATCTGCCCTTGTTCATGCTGGCTCAGATGCGTACCGCGAGGCATTTTTTGCTGTGTCGAAGTGAGCTACCGCATGTTTTGCGCTTTCGCCTTCCTTTTGTATGCGTCTAGTCTCTTTTACCAGTCTTTTCGCCGGAGATACTGCATTGTGTACAGCGGGGTTTTAAAGAAACTGCTGTGTACCTTATACTTTCGAACACCCATAAATAAGGTTTCTATAAATATCATGTGAATGAGCTCTCGATCTTTAAATCCGACCCCAGATTCGGTCTCCTCGTTGCTTTTACAGTCCTAGACGCACCTCAAATTTGGCCTTTACAATACTGTATGCCAGCAATGTGAGTATTGATGCTGTCCCTATACTATTTTTCGGCACTGTACAACTTGGCACAAAGCTCCAAAACATGCCTCTAGATCCATACATCGCTTTGGGATTGGCTGTTGAAATACAGGAAAACCGTAACAACGCCATCGCTTCCCATGAACAAGTAGCCGTTATGGGCCTCACTGTGCTGAAAATGTGGATCACATATGATATTTTTGTAGTATAGTGGCGGTCGCCAGCTATGAGCTAGCTCGAGGAAGAGGTAACAACCAATTGGGGTGTCCCGCGGTAGATCGGGACTGTGGTAGAGCAAAGGGGAAGTACGTCGGCCGACTGTAAAAGCACGACGTACTGGTCGAAGTGCGGACCCGGAATGGGACCAGCACTGGAAGGGGTGGTGCAAGAACACACAAAACAGGGGTGAACCCGAGCCTAAAGACTAGTGTCAGACACGGGCGGAGCGCCGAGTAGCGGAAACTCCTAGAGGGAACGAGCGGGACAGATGTCAATAGTGCCGCCAAGGCCAGAGGCTTGTCGTAGCCCGCGACTTGACAATCGTCACAATGCAGGGAGAGAGAAATAGGTCGTGCGACAGTAATACGCCCAGGCTAGAGGCCAGTCTTAGCCCGCGTGGTCGCAACGACAGAGTAAAAAGGAAAACAATTGGAACGTCGAGCGACAGTAACACGCCGAGGTTAGAGGCTAGTCTTAACCCGCGTAGTCGCAAAGACGGAGGAATGGAAAAGGTAAGGTAAAGGCAATAGAAGCCAGGGAAACGTCGCAAGACAGATGCTGAATGTCGCCTAAGTCAGAGGCTTGTCTTGACCCGCGGTGTCGCACCGTCGAAGGAAATCCGTTCCCAAAAGATCCTTGACTGTTTACTGTCATTGCCCGGCGCCGTCGCTTAAATAAGCGAGGTCGCGGGGTCTTGGACATTGTCCGTCCTACTGTACTACTGTACTCTATTATGTAATGCACTGTACTGTGCCATTACTACTGTACCTTGTCATATACAACCTCCGGGCTGTAATGTATACAGTAGATCTTCCGCCTGTAAGGCACCCGTGTAGTCCATCGGCCTGTAATGCCCACGTGTAGTCCGTCCGCCTGTAAGGCACACGTGTAGGCGTTCGCCTGTAATGCCCGTGTGAGCGTGTGCGTGCGCGTGTAATGCACACGTGTAGTCCGTCCGCCTGTAAGACACCCGCGGCGGCGGGTGCTGTACAAATTACAAATCTGGGCTGTGATACCACACGGCCCCCCGCCCAAACCGAAGCCGTCCCGGCGCTGCACTTGATTCTGACATCGATCTCCTTCCTCTTTTTTTTGTCTGCGTGACGTTGGGTGCGCTTGCACCTAAGCCGGATGGCCGATTTCATGCGCAAGGGCTCTGCCGCCGAGGTGGGCAATTTCGTGTGGCTCCGGGGCCACGCGGTACCTCGCGAAGTCTTCGAGCAGCGGGACTTCCGTTGGCGATGTGACAGCGCACCCGAGAACTGGAGATCGGCGAACCGCCTGCCAAGAAATTGGACACCGCAGGCCATGGTCAATCAACGCTTCGACTACAGCTTCTACGACGACGCTCTGCCGCCCGACTGGCAGTTTGATGTGGCGTTCGCCCGATACGGACGTGAACTGGCATATTGCCGTGCGTTGGCAGCTGCCCGAGCGACGATCGGTTTCTTCGACGATGCGGAGCAGTTCGATCGTCGCTGCTTGTTTGCGAAGGCATCGCTGATCCATCCAACACATTGGCCCTTCTATGAAAACCCCCAGGGCGATCATGTCGACGGTCGTCACAAATATATGCCTGAATCGTGGCATCGGTGGGAACGTTCATCACGACACCGGTTTGGCGTGTTCGCCGCTGTGCAGCATCGAGAGATTTTTGGTCTGCGACCGGAGGTTGTGAGGCAACGATGGCCGCGGGTCCCGAGAGGTTGGGAGAGGTTGGAGGTTCCTCTATGGGTGCCGGTCGGCACGCCACCTGTCGTGACGTATTTGGGAATCGACTTGGCAGGTGCAAGCCTTGACGATTGCCTCGGGAAAATTTTCTACACAGAGTTTGCTTGGCTCGCAGCAACGGAGGCCATCCATGTAGCCCGACAAGGCCGTTTGCCGCGGTTTTCCCCTTCCTTAATTGCGGCAATTCGCAGAGTTGGCGTTGATGCCATTTGTTTTGGTCACGATGACCACATGGTTGAGTTAGAAGCACTCCTTCACGAAATGGAAGTCATCCGATGGGACCGCGTGTGGCGGTGTAACGGAAAGGTTCCGAAGTATAACCATTACGGTACCCCGGTGTATGACTCGGGTGATTATGTCGAGTTCGACGCGCAACGATGGGCAACACAAATGCCGGATGCGATGTACATCCAAGAAGATTTTGACGGACGTCTATGCGAACCAATGCAATCTACAGGCTTGTTGCATACGGGTTTTCTTAACCACTGCGTGCCAAATCCGGTCCTGGCACCATGGGAGTGCGTTCGTGAGGATGCGGGTAGTAACAGCAGACGGGAGAGAAAGAATCGCCGGGGTGTGGGACATCACAACAGCACAGCACCGGCGTCGGTTGAAGCACGCGAACCATCCTCATCGACTCCTCTGGATGGCCATACTGGCTCTGTAGAGAGTGGCATTTCACAGATTAGATCACTGCTCGTCGAGCGGGGCTTGCAGCCGAGGATGGCGTCTGTCGGTATCGCACTGCCATCATCTGCCAGTGGTGTGGTCGACGTAATTGAAACCCTATTGCGCAGTAGCGCTTTGGGCAGCCTTGTGACAGCCTGTCCCTCACACCCCGCGAGCAGGGAGGAGATCAAAGATCTAGATGCGCCTGTGGATATCGAGATTGATATTTCGCAAGGCATTCCCCCTCTCCAGATTCCCCGCACGACGTACGTCTCTGTTGAACCGGCGCACGCCTTGCCTGAGCCGGTTATCGATCTCACGACTGAATAAATTCTAGACAGCCCCTTTTCTTGACCTTCTCCTATTTTCTCGACTGTTCCATCCGACATTTGCCAAAGCCATTTTTGTAAAAGGCTTTAGGATACCAGGACTTCTTTTTTTGACTAATGTGTCGTAGCCAGAAGATGGCGAAGGTGTTCTGGAACCTGGCGGCCCCGTCGGCG